AAACGTGGTTCATTGAGAAGATTAACAGCTCTGTTTATGCAGTGTTTCATGAGAAAGGAGTGCATTTTCTCCCTTGCATCACTATAAATTACCATCACATCACAAAAATAAGCAAATGTTAATGTAGTTGGGCATAGAGATTTTCCCCTGTTGCATAATCTAGAAAATGCAAAACCCTGGAATATAAGGTTGTTGCAGGCAAGTCAAAGGAATTTTCCAGACTCCCTTAGGGAACTGAGCATACCCCCTCAAATGACAGGATGAAGACTGTTTTATTAGAACCAGGGTCTGTGCTCATGGGCCCTGGAGCTGTTTGGCTGCCTTGCTGATCCATATCGCCATGTTTACTTCTCCCAGCCTGGAATGTGTCTATAAGCCAAGATGCACCCACAGCTTTTCATTGTCTGGAAGGGCTTCTGTGAAGCCTCACACGCTCATTTTAACTGAGGAAGCAGGATGTTAGAAGCATGGTGTACTGAACTGAAGTTGTTTTTCTTCCCCTGATTCGTTTATATTAGCCTCCAGAACATCCCTTCTTCCTTACTGCTATCCTGGAAGAGAGCCTTGCTTAAAGCTCTTTTCTTCTATCCAAGCAGTGCCATATCTTGCCAGGTCTTTGCAGATGCAGCTGGTCAAGCTTTCAGTTTCTCCCAGAGCAGCTTATGGAAGTCATGGCCTTCCTGGGAGCCCAGAACCCTCAAAACCAAGATGCCTCAACAGGCATCAAGAAGACATACATTGTTAGTTTTCTTTCTCACCCATATTTACTCAGGATCTTCCTAGGCAGGCCATTTAAATATTCTGTCCTACATTCCCTACACTGTCACAAAGTGATAATAATCATATCTCAGGGAGAAAAAATCTTTTGTGATCCTAAGATGAAATCAATCACTGTAAGTTCGAAGCCATAAAAGGTCTCCAGGAATACAATAATTATATACTCAGTGAATAGTCTCAGTAAAAACACTCCCACGTGAATGTGGAGGGAGACATGAATTGATCTATACCACTGTGGAAAGTTTTAACATGTTCTTCTTAGTTCATAATTGTCACTGAGGTTAATGAGAATAACTTATTCTCCCAAGCATATTGTTGCTATAGAACACGGGATGATGCGTTCCTCAGAAAGAAACACTTAAAAGTAGATTTACCATATGATCCCACAACCCTACTTCCAGGCATATAATCAAAAGTATTAAACACTTATCCTTAAACAGGTGCCTGTACATTTATTATTTACATTCACACAACTGTGGAAGCAACCCAAATATCCACTTACGTTATTCAGCCTTTCAAAAGAGAAGGAAAATTCAACACACACACTGCTGGATGGATGAATCCTGACGACATTGTCCTAAGAGAAATAAGCTAGTCATAAAGGGATAACGTCTGAAGAATTGTACCCACACAAGGTCCTCAAAGTACTCAGACTCAGAAGCAGGACATCGCTGTGGGAGGAGGGATAGGCTGGGCTGTTCTCATATAATGGAAATGGAAATTGAGTTTTGCATGGTGCAAAGGGTTCTGGAGATTGGTTGCTCAATGATGTGAAAAAAGGCAGTGTCACTGAGTTGGACATGGCCGCACGGTTAACATGGTGAGTTTGCATTGTACGTATTTCAACACAATGAATTTTTTTTCAACATTAAAACAAAAAGAAATAAGTGGAAAATGCCAGCGGTGGAAGAGCTCTGGGATTTCTATGGGTCACAGCGCGCATTAAGCAGACTGTCCACACAGTGCCGTGCATTGTTCTTTCTCTGGTCTCAGGGCAATATCCTGAGCAGTAAAGGCAGTTTTGGCTGACTCCAGGGAATTTGTACCTTGGCCACAGAAGGTGTTTTTGACAAGACGGGCAGGCTAGCTTCATCTCTGAAATTCCTGAACATTCTTAAATGCCCATCCCTTGTCTTACTTAATACAGGGCTAGCCTTTTCCCGTGGTGAATGAAAAAAGCAATTCCTCACTTTTAGGGCTGAAACGATCAACAGTTGCCTCTGCTCACTTGCTTGCCAGCTGCACAAAGGTTTCAGGCTCTGCTGGAAGTCTCAACAGTTCCAGAGAGGGCAGAAAATGTTCACAGCTTCAGCAGGGGAAGGCCCCCAAACAGATGGCTCCCTACTCACATGGTTGCTGTAGCGAACTCCTGATTTTCCTTCAGAGAGAAAAGATGAAAGTGCCACATTATGGGATTCCTTGAAAATTCTCAGAAAAAGCAGAAGGTAGTATTTAGTATTCTCTTTCTGGACATTTTCTGTTTGTTCTCCCCAAGAGAACCAATTATGGGGTTAGCTAGAGGGTCCTTAGCATCTTCCTCAAAAAGACATAAAAATATTCTACTAACTTCCCCTGGGAACTAAAGGATTTTCAACTAGGCTAAACTCTGGGAGCCTGTGGGGGTGAAGCTGGGCAGTTCTGATTTCTTCCATTACCACCTTTCTGGGCCTGGGAGATGACTGTGTGACCCAAACACCAAATAAAACCTTTCCCATGGTTCTTTTAAACACAATCAAGGCAGGCAGACTAGAACTTTCTGGAATGCTATGTATAATTCTAAGGAAAAGCAAAAGGAAATAATCACAGATAGTGGCACAAGGTTCACAGGACTGTCTTTTGACCTAGGACTTGGCATCATGCTTCCTTAACTTTTAGCTTGTATGCCTTGCCATGAACCGTGTTGAGATTGGTGTCCTTAAGCTCCATTAGGCAAGATCTTGCCTGACTCTTCTTATTTCTGTGCTTCTCACACTGTCACAGAGCCTGCCTCCTGGAGTTGTGACTAACTTTAGATAGTTTGGAATTCTATAAGGGCATTTTCTCTGAAGCAAACAAGCCCTATGGGGTCTTCTGTTGGGGAACAGACAGCAGCCTCCATTCAAGTTTCTACTTCCTCCATTGACTATGAACTCTTCTGCAGTGAATGACTTGCTTGGTTGTAATTAACAGTTAGCCCCGACACCTAGGGCTTTTAAAGATAGCTTAAACTTTGTATAATAATGGCCTTACATACCAAATTCCCCTACCAACCTGCACTTTAGGTTTCAAGTCTGGTCAAAGAAAAGTTCATTCCCTAAGCAACAGCCATTAAAAATGACACCCAAGATTCCGTATCTCTTGAAGACATTCTTACCAGTCAATAATACGTCTTTATTCTATATAGTATGTCTTTTTACAACATCTATGTATTTGTAACTGTAAAGGGTTTATTCCTAGACTAGGAGGAGTTTTAAAATCAAATTTAAAAGCTACCAGCTATGAAATGGTCGGACTGAGTTTGGAGTTAGAAAGGGCAGATCCCCTTTCAGCAGTCTGGCTCTTTACATGAATAGCATTCATGGTGGCTTTGTGTGGAGGCCTTGTGTTGATTGCCATCCAAGTCTGGAAAAGTTCTGAAATACATTGTCTTCAGCAATGCACATAAGCTTTGTGTCTAGGATTAACACACTGATTTTCAGCAATTATACATCTTGTTATGCCCCATTATATTTACCCTAAAAACATTTTGAAGAGAATATCTTACAAAAGCAGAGGGGTGGTCTGGAGAGATGACTCAGCAGATAAAGCACTTGCTGTGCAAGTCTGATAAACTGGATTTAGAGCTCCAGAACCCACATACAAGTCATGATTCCACTGTATCTCTTCTGGGAGATGAGGAGATAAATACAGAATTTCCAAAAGCCACTTAGCCTGTAGCATGCAGCTGTGAACACACACACACACACACACACACACACACACACACACAGAGAGAGAGAGAGAGAGAGAGAGAGAGAGAGAGAGACAGAGAGAGGTTCTTTCTTTGTAGATAAACTCAGAAAGGCTGACCCTCACATTTGCATTTTGGTGTGCCTAGGTGGCTTTGAGGCATTTCCTTACAGCTAAAAATGACAGCAAGTGACAAAGCAAGTTCATGATATAAGCTACTTAGTCACATAAATGAAGAATTTTATGTTTAAAAACAAGCTGTGGCCTATGGTCTCATCGAAACAACATTGTTGAGCTATAATTTCAGCTTTTTGTCATGATGACAAATGCTTAATATCTGAAAGATTTATTTTGTTTCTTGGATTCAAAGGTTTTGGCATGTGCTTGGTTGGTTCCATTCCTTTAGTGGGAGACAAAGGTGAACATCATGGAGGTGGACTCACATGTGGCAGGGGCTACCTACTTCACGGTGGCCAGAAAGTGAAAAGAGAAAAGGCGGGGGAGGGCACACGCTGTACCTTTCTAGGGCACACTCCAGTGATCTACTTCAATAACATCATACTAGGAATTCATCAAGAGTAGACTCTGTTGATTAGGTCCAAGGCCTCAAAAGCCCACTGTCTAAAAGCCGGCAAGCGATGGCAAACACGCCCCCTCTACATGAGTCCGTGAAGTCATTTCATATTCAAATCATAACAGGCAATCAGATTTCTAGGTTAGTCCACGTCTATCTCCCATAACATTGTTTAGAGTTATAATAGTTTTAGTGGACTTTTAAAAGAAGATTTCTTTTCACTTGTGAAGATGGGGGTGGGGTGTGCATTTAAGTGCAGCTGCCCTAGGAGGCCAGCAGCATCCGATCCCCCTGGAGCTGGAGTTTCAGACCTTTGTAAGTCACCTGTGTGCTAGGAATGGAACGTGGGCCTTCTGCAAGAGCAGTATGCACTCTTAATTGCTGAGCCATCTCTTCCTCTCCTTTTGGTGGAAATCATGCACTTAGTTGGAAACAAAGCTTTTGCAGAACAAGTAATTAAGGAAACACTTTAAATGACATGTTTTGTTTTCAAAAGCCTGAGAATACCAGGGTTGGGGGAGCAGCACACTTGGAAGCGTCCTGTAAAGGTAACTGGTGATTGGAGGCCTTCCAGGTTTGTTTAGAGGACTCTAGAGGTTAATTAGAGTGCTTTTCTAGTTTGTGTTAGCTCACCCTCTGTCTCCCTGGGGCCAGTGGCAACTGCTGTGAAGAAGGTATTTTGGAGGGAGAGAAAAGCAGGAGGATGGGGAATAAACCAAGATGCAGTGATGTCCCAGAACGAGATCAGCAAAGAGAAACAAAGAGGAGGTGCAAAATGGCTGGAGATGAAGTGATCCAAAATGCACATATCAATCTCTGAAAGAGTACCCTCGGGTCAACCATTTTACCTCCAGTCACCGGAGTTACTCACCAGAGCAGTTGCTGGGGCGGTCAGGCAACAGGACAGGTAAGAAATAACTAACTCGCTGTTCATACATACATGTCATTCTTGAAAGATGTGTTTATGGATTGGAAGATCCTTTTTTCTGAGTAAATAAGTAACTTGATAAAAAGAGAAAAGCAAAGTATCAGTACTGGTGACTATTAAATGCTAAGAGCTGAATACATAGCAAAAGGCTGAACACTTTCTTCTCCTTCTTGTACAAAACCCATTGGTTCCCTGATAATGATTCTTCTCATTGTGCAAAGGAACAAATTCATTGACTTGTAATCAAAGTGATAAAATAAATTCAACACATTTCAAGCTGCAACAGTGTTTTTGTGACTCCATCAACTGCTTAGATGTGTTTCTCACTGGAGGCAGCTTGTGGGTGGTGATTCAAGGTGTGTCTGTGATTTTCGTTCTCTTCCTCATTGCTTCAGTCAGCAAATGCATTGTGCTTATTAACTCCTGTTTTGTACTAGACATAATATAAAATAACAGACGACCCACAAAGGACCCACCCACTCTTTGCTCTCATGAAGTTCCTAGAAAACTAAGAAAACTCTGAAAACAGAATGGTGATTGGGCTGTATGTTAGTCTGTTTTATGTTGCCAATAAATCATTTCTACAGACTAGATGAGTTAGGAAAAAAAGGGGTTCCTTTTTTTTGGTTCCTGGATATGGAGGTCCAAGGTCACTTTACCCATGCCATTCTTGCTTCCAGAGTCCCAATATGACACAGGGTTCTACATGGTAAGACACAGATAACTTTACTGTGTATATGCATGCACGTGTACTTGTTCTCTAGGCTTGCTCTTATAATACCACTAGGATTTAATCATGAGGCTCTACCCTGATGACCCCATCTAATCCTAATCACTTTCCAAGGCTCCACCTCTGGATACTGCAATTGCATTAAGTTTCTACCCTCTTAATATCTCACAGCAGTGATTAAATTTCAATATGTGATCCCCGGAAGTTATACTCAGGCCATACCAAGGCCTGAGGAAGTGGGATACCCAGAGCTGTAAGAGGGAAACCTTCCTAGCTTTGATTTGGTAGCTAAGGAACACTGTATACTGATATAAAGGATGAGCAAAGTACAACTGGATGAAGGGAGCATTTGACATACAGCAGGTAGTGTAGGCAAAACACAAAAGAAAAACAGAAATTCATTTTTGATCACTCAGAGGTATGACCCATTCAAGTGGAATCACTAAGGAAATGCCGCACTCGGTTGTGTACTCCAGTTTTCCTTTTCTTCCAAATTCTGTGTTCAGTGAGGTCAAGTTGGTAGCTATAGGTTGACCATGGTGGGAAGAGAATCCCCACTACAAAAATTGACAGCTGCCTGAAATCAGTCTTTGTGTTTTCTGAAGAGCTAATCGCTAAATATTTACCAACATACCAATGGACACCGATCCAAGACACCACACTAACACAACTATAGATCTGTGATGTGGCTTTAATTCTTCTTACTTCCTTTTGATGTTCTGTATCACCCACCGGCAGCTGCTCTTAAGCTGGAAGTGGGATGGAGACAAGCAGCAGGGTACCACTGCCAGCATTTCATCTCCCTGGGCTCCTTCGACTGTGAATCCTGCCATCTTCACACGTGCCAACATCCTGTGAGTTTTCCCACATCGGCCGTTTTTCAAGTCAAAGCTATGTTAAAAAATAAACTGGCACTGTTTTCCTCAGACTTTAATGCTCATTAACACACACCTAGACTCTCACAGCTTCAGTTTCACACCTGTGGTTCAATTTACATGAATAACTAAATCTTCGCTTATGCCTGCTTGAGGCTATTCAGAAGAAACTAGCATGCCTCTTCCAGAAGCAGATTCACCCCAGGCAAATATCAGAAACCAGCTTAAAATACTACCAGAGATGGGTTGGGAGTGTCACTCAACAGTGGAGGATTTGCTGAGCATGTTGGAAATTTCGAGGTGTCATCCCTGGCATAACAAACAGATTGATTTATCAGAAATAAACCACAGTCTAACTTGTCGTGGTGAGCCAGTTTCCATGGCAAAGGTCATAAGCTTTGGTCATACAGGAAATAAGAAATAGACAGGGATGCACTAGGTTTAACATATGACACTTCCTCATTTTCAGTCATTTGAACTCCCTTAGATCCCTCAATCCTTATTGATCTCACACAGATTCATACTCAGAACATACTGGGTCAGTTTTCTTCTGGCCTGTGGTTGGTGTCTGTCTAGGTCGCTTTAAGGAGAGTCAGACAAGAAAGAGAAAGCTCTATTCACATGGTGGGTGGAGCAAGTTGGAAGCATTCTGGCTCTATCTGATAGGTAGATGAGAGAACTTGACCTAATCACAGCATGTTGGGAGTTTAGTTAGTTTTCACATTCAATTCAAATTAGCACTTACAATTTTTATCCATATGCTTTTTTTCAGCAAGAAGAGGGGGTTTTGGAAGAACTACATGAATCCATAATCTATTTTTCCCCTGTAGATTTTGCTGGGGTGTCTGTGGTGCACAGATTCTGAAACCACTTCACAAAAGGAATTGACATGTATAAAGTCCTTCTAAAAGCCACCAGGAATGACAACAGGAAATAGAGAGAGGTGGATGGAGACCCCTTTCTCTAAATTGACTCTTTTTATTCCTAATTAAATTTGCTGGGACTGGGGGTGTAGCTGAATGGTAGTTTATGTTCAGCATGTGTGAGTCTCTGGCTTCCATTCCCAGTATTGTGGAGAGAAAAAAAAAGGTCTGGAACCAACAAGCCACTATCAAAGCTAATAGAGTTCGTGCTAATATTAGTAAACAGTAGGATGCTCTTTTCAAAATAAAATATTTAAAAGTTTACATAAACTTTTAAAAATGTCAATTACTCCATTTCCCTGCCTCTGCATACATTCTTGTTTTCATTTTCATTTTGAAGTAATTTATAAAGGCATGAACTCAAGCTAAGTCCCACACCTCGTGACTTTCTGACCATATTGCAATGAGCATTCCATTGAACCTCACCGTGCCTACAGTTTCTTATTTGTAGAGTCAAAGGAATGATAACTTTCACCCAGAATTACTTTACACACTTAGAAAGATAAAGCATGTACACATATACAACCACATCTATGACTACAGAGCTTAAGTCTTGTCTCCTGTGTATAGCCTTAAAGCTCAATTTGTAGCATGAAAAAATTGTAGAGTCATAACAGAAGGCTATATATACATGGTTAGGAAATGAGGAGGGTAGTGGGTGGTGAGTCTTCATAATAGATAGTGAAACTCATATTTCTGCTGTGATATATATTGGGGGGATGTGGCCATTTTACTAGAGATTTATTTTGAAACATCTCTTTTGAAAATATTTTGCGTTTTTAAACAGCTCCTTCGTTTCTTTGTAAAGAGTGAGAAATAACATAGCAAAAGTATTATTCTCTCAGTTACCTCAAGTTTTCTATCTTATGACTATGTCTATTGCAAATGAAAAGCCCAGAATGAGAAAAAAAACAAGTGTCCAGCAATTTGAACTTGTCTTTTTTTTTTTTCCTTTATCCACCCATGGCTGGACTTGATTGTATCATTTGATAACAATAGATATTATAAGTCATACCCTCCTAGACTAGATTGGCTTATGACTTGCAGGATAGAGTCTAGTTTATTCCTCACATTGCATACATGTTTTTAAACTATAATTATCGATGTTTCCAAGTGGGAAATATTATCAGTACAATGTAGTTCTCTAATCATCAGGCAACTGACTCTCACCATGTACTCTTTATCAAATAACATATATATATATATATTACTAATTAAATTTATTTATTTTACATCCCGACCTCAGTATCCCCTCCCTGCTCTCCTTCTAGTCCCTTCCCCCACCATCACTCTGCCCCCTATCAAATAAAATTTAAAGTGACTTGAGAAGTGAAGGCCAGACTAGCAAAGGTTCCAGCATCTTTTATTGTGTCAGCTTTCTCCACCTTCTATCAGTTGATGATGCCTGTCCACTTAGACACTTGAGAAGTCTCTCATGAGGTTAATCAGACTGCTGCTTCATGGGTATCATGTCCTACTGCACTGCTCAAGGCTCCAAAAGCCTCTAGGCTCCTCCACCTGCCTGCTGTTGCTGACCCAGCAGTGTTCAGTGTTCAGTCATCCGTATCCTGTATCTCTATAAATGCTGCTTCATTTCACACTTCTGGGCATTCCATCTCAGAGACAGGTACATTGTCTTTATCCCTTGAAACACATAGAAGTGACGAAGTGGCTATTTTATTCTTTTACCTCCTTCCATTTTTTTTTTTTTTTGCTTTTGGATAGAAGGATCCCAACTCAGAAAGCGGCTCTTGGCTTTGAGTAAGTGAGAAGATAGTAACCACTGTATGTGTCTTTATTAATAAACTGGAAGATAAAAAAGACTCTTCTCAGAATTGGGGACAGGCAGAAATAATGGAACCAGCAAGGTTGGCAGTGCATCCCAGGGGACTAAGGTGATGAGGCAGCCATCACTTTCCTCCACATTGCTTTAAAGGTGTTGAGGTAAGACACTGGTACTAGAACCCAGAGAGTTGTGCCCATAACCAGGAGAGAAGGGCTTACCTGTGGCTTTAGGAAGGTAGAGTAGGTAGGTGTGGGGTATGCTTCCTGCTTCTGTCCTACAACTCTTTCACCTCTTGCTCGGGCTTCACATTGTCCAACCCAACCAAAATCTTGACATGGGGCGAACCCAAGCGCTAAGCTCCCTGGAGTTCTGCTTAGGGACACAGAGAAAGAAGGAGAAAGAGGAATCCAGAAGAGCAAACTGAGAAACCAGCAGAAAATATGTTAAACAGCGGTTCTCAACCTTCCTAACGCTTCTACCCTTTAATAAAGTTCTTCATGTTGTCACCCCCAACTACAAAATTATTTTTGTTGTTGCTTCAAAATTGCCATTTTGCTACTATTGTGAATCATAATATAAGTATTTTTGTAGATAGAGGTTGGCCAATGGGCTTGTGACCCACAGGTTGAAAACTGCTAAATGGAGATAGGAGGAGAGCTCAGCATTGGAGGGTTCTGAGTCAGTTCCCAGCACTATGAAAATACTAAATAGCTGCAAATACTGCACATGAAAACTGAGGGAAGTAAAGACTGGGTCAAGGAAGGAATGAATTGAAGGATGGGGGATCCTTTTTTACGCTGCTTCCTAGAGAGCAATCCTAGGAGTTGAATTTAATGATCCCCTATTTTCATTATACTTCTATAAAAATGATTTTTTCTCTAAATGAACTCACATTTGATTCACAATTTTGAAACAAGACATCTAGTACTGGTCAAAATGATACACCGTAAGACTATCCATCCATCCACCCACCCACCCATCCATCAGACACCTGCAACCGGTGAGCACTCTCAATGTAGACTGACAACTCCTCAGTCCTGTTTTGTTGCTGCAGAGGGAAGGCAGCTCTCCTCTATCATAAGTAAGTCATTCCAGGGCCTAGCACATGTAGTTTAGTGGGAGAGCAGTTGGCCTTGCCCAACAACTATGAGGCCCTGAGTTCTAGCCTCAATACCACCACCAAAAATAAACAAGTCATTCTAAATGTAGTGTAAAAACAATAATTAATTTCTTATGGCTTACTGAGTTGGCAGGCCCTACTAGGCCATTTTCCCTGTATTGACATGCATATGGCTGCATTCTGCTGGGAGCTTGTTGGCCAGGAACATCCAGCTTTGTCTCTCTTCCTCTATGGTATAGTTTCTTTGTTTTTAAAAATTCATTACTACTACTACTACTAGTAGTACTATTAGTGTGTGTGTGTGTACACTTGAACACACATGTCCACAGTGGATGTGCAGGCACCATAGAACACATCTGGAAGTCAGAAGACAACTTGTGGGAACCCTTTCACCATTTAGATTCTGGACATCTAGCTCAGATTCTTGGACTTGGTGTCAAGTATCTTTACTGGTTGGGCCATCTCACTATCCAAGGTATAGCTTCTTAAACTGTGAGTTGTAAGCCTACCTAGGGTAGTATAACTGAATGCGGGGATCATGAAAAATTTGGCATCACTAAAAACGTTTCTGAACATACAAAAACCAAAATAATCAAATGTCTAATGAATGTGTGTTTCTAGAAGCACTTGCCCATGCTGCATCACTACACTATACCCTTGCTTCTGAACAGACAGCCTGCACACTTGCACTGCCCATACCTTCATGTCCCACAACATCAGTGAATGCTTCCTGAAACAACTCAACTCAGATCTGAGACTACTGCATGCTATTGACTGAATGGTTTAAATGCACATGGCAAGTTTTCTGCTCTTCTAGAAACATAATGGTTGAATTACAGAAAGAAAAGAGAATTTTTAAGATTTTAAAAAATGTTTCCTTATCATTTATAAGCACATGAGTACCAAGTTAGTGTGCCTTTGGATTGTATCATGTTAGAATGTTTGATTTTAACATTTGCCATTTGAGATACCGATTTGAGTTTCATTAAAAATTGTTTAAAAGTTTAGCATTGAATTAGGTCTGAATTTCTAAAGATTTCTGACATGGTCCCAAACAGACTTCTGTCATTTTACACTATGTATTGAATGTGAAGTGGTATTATCAACACTGACAAGGAAAAAATCAAATTATCAGTCAACTCTAAAATACTTTGAAGGTACTCTAAGTGAAAACTCAGGTAAGATTCAAAGTGTGTGTGTGTGTATATGGTGTGAAACTGTACAGAAAGGAATCTAGAAATAAGCTCCTGTTATTTTAGTTTCACAAAGGCAAATGCATAGTCTGCTCAGAAGTTTCTTGCCATGAGCATGGTCAGTGCTGCTTCTATGCTTTAAGACCTTTTCTTCAGTATGGGGCACTAGTCCCACTCTCCATCCAGGGAAGTATCACCAGGGTTAGCAGTTTTACTCTTTAAGTTCAAGGAAAGGGAATGATGTATGGGGCTGTGGGGGAAATGGCCAAAGGAATGGAAGCATACAGTTAAGGTCACTTAGCACCTAGTGAAAAACCAGGGAAGACCTACCACTCAGACTCTCCTCTCTAGTCCTGGAACTTGGAATATGGAACTTAATAGAAATTTAAGTTCTGGACAAGGTTCTTTACTGCTGAACTATATCCTCACTGGTTGAGTATGTATGTACCATGTGCAAAGCCCTAGTTTAATCCCCATGATGTCAAAAACAAACAAGCAAGCAAATAAACTCCCCCAGTAGACTTACCGTTTGATCCAGGTGTGATGACACAGATATTGCTGAGACAGGAGGATCACCACAAGTTTGCGGCCAGTTTGACATATGTAGCAAAATTCTGCCTCAAAATTATCAAGGAAAAATACATCAGAGTTATGTGGTTTGATTAGATCATGAATCAGAGTCACTTATTTAACAACCAGTCGCATCATGCTTCCAGATACCTCACACTCCTGACGACTGGGCAGGATGTGGCCTTCAGAAGTAACGTTTCCTCCTCTCCTCCTCTCTGATGCAATTCTTTCTGCCTCTCTCCTCCATACCAGACTAAGGTTGGTAGCTGTGTGTATTCTCTTATTTCTCTCAGTGCTTAAGAAGCCTTAGGGGGCAGGTGTGGCCTGCCTGCCTTATACGGATTCAACAGCAGACACAAAGCAGGTCTTAGATTACTTACATAGGGCAAGGTGATGTCAAAGTACCCTGTCTATTCAGGAGGGGTGTATACTCTCTGCAGCCCACATTGGGAGGGCACTGAGTATCTCTCTAGTATTCGCTTCTGCCTCAGTGTGGCCTATATTTTATATTTGCCCTGCAAATCATTTGTAGAAGAAAGTGTGTAAACACATAGTCATGGTGATGAAGGTTGCAGGCTGAAATTTTCAGTTGAGT